TCATCATTTTGTAATGTAACCTCCACACCTGGTAACGTGACGCGGGGTGGCATTATAACATGACGTGGCATTGGTATAGGCAGCATGGGTGGAAAAGGGTCTGAAAAAGAAGAAAATATATACTCATATAAGTAAACCAATAATCAGGGGGCAAAAAAAAAAAAAGCGAAAATATGTGACACAGGTCATGACATTCAGTATGTCCATTACTTTCCTACGGAACTTGTAATTTTTGGTCTTGATTGCACTAAGCTTTGATGGTAAAGTTACGTGTGCCATGGGCCGCAATTCTAGGAAATTTGTATATTTCCCATGCCCTTACTTATGGTGAGTATGTATCAAGTTTGTGCTATTGTCTATATGCAGCATCTACAGGGGCTTGAGATAACCCATTTTTTATTTTAACGTTAATCGATTCAGATTTTCCAAATTGATTTAAGCTTGTCTGTTCCTTTGGGCCTTTACGGCTTGTGCATATGTGCTTTTCGTTCAGTCTGCAGGTTGAATTTTTTTTTTTTTTTGAGATATTTTGATGAAGTTTAGTACAAAGACGTGTTTAGTCCAAGGACGAATACTATTGAAAATATATTCGAATCGGAATCCTAACCCACCTATAATGCTCTATTTTAAAAGATCCATAATCTGGAAAAATAATATTTTGATACAATAAATGAATGTGTAAAATTTGGGATCGGATGGAATTAAATTTTGAACCTTTAAACATTTTTACAAAATATTATGCGGAAAATAATATTGAGAGATTTTTTATATCAATGGATTGTATTTAAGAGGTAAGTAAAACTAAACAGAATATGGAATATGGAGTATGCGACTTCAATCTACAATATTCTGAAGGATACTTTTACATTGCAAGAATCGTGGGAAAAGTGAAAATTATTGAAATGTCTAAAGAGGTTCGCTATATTTTCCAATTACATTAGCGAAAGGGGTAAAAAGACTGCTCAAGCTTTCAGGGAGAAGGCTTGTAGTACCCAGTGTAGTGGCTCTGTCGAATGCGATAGTACTAGTCTACTCGATCGAAAGTCGTATCGGAAATCAGCGAACACCGACACATAAGCAATCCTGACTTTACTTAGGAATCAAATATAGAGCAGAAAATAGTTGAAAATTAATTACGTAACGCCGAATACACACACACACACACTCAAGCACATACACAAACACACACAAGCACACACACAATCAAAGAAATTTGAAGAACTTAATTGTCCGGCACGCGACAAAATCGAACCATTTTTGAAGCAACTCATCACTGGCCTTGCAAAGTGTGTAAAATATAAGAATGTCGTTCGATCCTACCCAACAGAAAGTTTAATTATTACAAATCCACGATCAAAGCCACGATTTGTGCTCCATTAGGTTGTGCCTTAAATATGATGCGATTGACACTGAAGTGCATGTTATACTCAACTGATCGATTCTAATTACTGCTGCCACCAATTAGCCAGATTGCAGCAAAGCGAGATAATCAATAGGAAGGGCATTGCCTGCCATCGTGACAACGTCTGATTGCACACTTATCCGATGACACGGTAAAAATCAAAAGACCTTGGGTAGGAAGTTTTATTGCGTGCCCATCATCCACATACCGCTTGTTTCGCTTTCTATTGAATTGTCTTAAGAGGCCTGTAAAAGTCACTTCGTTCAGATCTTTGCTTAGAATTTGCAGAAGCTCTGCAATTACGACATAATGGTTTTACCAAGAAAATCAAAAAAGTAAAAAATAAGTCTTTATAATGGGAGCAAGATATAGTTTTCGATACGTTGTGATGGAAATTGATTCGGAATTACATCGGCAGAGTGGGATTTTTAATGGCCAGCCCCGTTCAATAGGAGCTGTCAAAAAATCATCAATCTCTTTAGAATGCAGATTAAGAGGGAGGCAGATAGCGAACGACACGGATAGACGGATTTGAAAAATTTAACTTCCAATCTTTCGCTGATTTAGAGTATGCCCGCTTTTGCGCGCTGTAGGTGTTGCATCCTTTAATGACAAGGTTCAAGTATCGAAATGTATAGCACTCGATGATAGTATTGATGTGTTGAAGTCGTAATAGAAAATACTGAATGGAATCAATCAAGAAGGCAAAGTACTGGTCAAAGGCAGCCTTGAAATGAATTTTTTTAAAGTTTAGTTAGCTTTCCTTTACATTTTCTATCTTATTCGTTTTCCTCATTTTTGCAAGCAAGTTTAAGTTTTTACCGTTTGCGAACACGTTTAAGTTCAAATCGCGTGACTATTTCCAAATTTCACTATACACGTGTAAGCAAAGATGTATGTTTCTGCTTTCTGGCTCCCTATATGTACATCTTTGAAGTTTAGGACAAGGAACAATTTCGTTTGAATTTTATGCATTGAATAACCCACAGATTTGATGAGTCCTGTGTAGGACGGTTTCATTCTGCTGCGTGAGAATATAAAAATCATCATTTAAATATACGTACACATCTCCAAAAAAAAATACGGTACGAATAATTCATCCAATGATATATTAGAAAAAAGCGCTTAGACTTCTTACAAAGTGGATAAGGATGCTGAATAGATTACGTCTACAAGTTGCAAAAAAAAAATTAATGAATAAATAAAGTAAACAATGATCGTTAATGAATTCGTCGTTTTCTACAGTTAGTTACTTATGAATTAATAAATCAAATAAAGTCAATAAATAATTTTGTCATTTCATTGTTGGCAGATATTTTCTTGCAGCACAAAATTTGATGTTGGGTTTTTTGCTTATTTATCTCTCTGTATGGCTTATGTTATTATGGAAGTTTTAACTGGAACTTTGAGAAGCTTGGCTTGTTTCACAAGATCAACTCTTAACAACTAAACTGGCTAAACCCAAATGTTTGCAACCGATAAAAATGTTTATTGTAAACTTCTGTAAGATAAACGTCGCCTGAACGGTGCAATCGTCTTATGTATGACGACTCTCGGCTATAACTTTATTTTATTTACGGACAAAAGCATTTATTAACTGCAATATATATAGACCGGGATTCCTTTCTGATTGTGAGACTATTTTAGAACTTTTGCGTTATTATAATACAAATTTTGTGAAAAAGGTTAATTTTGATATCATGGCTAACTGCAAAATTTACAGCTATTTCTTCTTAGTGTTAATTGTTAATCTTAAAAATAAATCGTGTGCTAAACATTCGAAAGAAGAAAGAAGAAGAAAAAAAAAACAAATAATAAAAAGAGCAATATCCATATAATCGATGGGCGTGGCTCATTTTATATATTTTTATATAGTCATTTTGTGGAAATTTTTATTGTATATCTGCTTTAGTTTATGATCACAAACCACGCAGAGCAAAGGCGTTCTCAATTTTGGTTCTATAGACGTGTGGGCGTTGCAGGCGTGTTCTTTGACTTGTAGGCGACATCTTGTTTTTTTTTGCGAACGGGACAATATGTACCATAGATACTACACAGTTTGCCAGACGGACTAATAGACGGACATGCTTAGCTGTATTCCAAACTTGAATCTCTTCAAGAAAGTATATGCTTTATGGGGATTTTGAAGCTTTGAAGCTTCTGCGTGTTTTGAAAGCTATTGAAGAAAAATGTTTTTTTTTAAAACACTATAATATTGGATGGCGTTGGTCAATTTTTTCCACTTTTATGTTGGTACTATGGCATCACTCATAGAATATGCGTTCAACTTTTTGTACAAGACTTTTCAATCTATGTAGTAGTGTAGACATATGTTCCGACCGATTTGGGCGGGCATTTCCAATAATAACCTGTGTGCAAGAACTCACAATGTCTCTGCCAGATTTGAGGTTGATAGTTTCATTTTGGCCACATAACGGCGAACAAACGCACATGATTAATTCAATTGAGAATTTGATGCTGATCAAGGCTATATACACTGTGTGGAGTTGCTTAAGTTCCCTTCAGGGCCTCGCAAACGTTTTGACAAAGTGAATATAAGTCTCATCCATCGATCAATGATGGGTGTAATAAACAATTAATCAAGAAAACAAAACAAGAAAAGAAAACCAATAAAAACATGTATAGAGGCGTATAGAGGCGGATAGAAGCACATTCGTTACTAATACAGATTCGAGTTGGGAGTGAGCCCCTAAACCGATACAATCACGCAAAAACTTATTAATTGAGAGAAAGCTTTGTAGCATTTTGCTGTAAAAGTGGATTGCAAAGGTAAATGATTTTTCTTTAGGAAGGAAATGCTAGATGAATTAGCTTTTATAATAATAGTAAATGGGTTGAGTACATCACAGCAGCGAAGAAGAAAGATGGCTAATTCATCAGCTTCGAAATCAAGCTATACTAATATAAAACAACTCCAACAATTTTTCTCCCCATATGTACACATCATATATTTGAAATGAACGGATATTTGTAAATGTCGTATAGTCTTGGTGTGTCATGACTTAAATTTCATCTTTAAGAAACAACTGATATTATTTTTAAAAAGGGCCAAAGGGCCGCTCATCGAACTATAGCCGTATATTGCAAAAAGCGTTTTTTTCTTACTTAATCCCGGTACTCTCTCACGCCACATTTGGCTTAGCAAAATGTGCATTTTCTAAAAAAGCGATTTTCAAGCACTTCGAAATTGGTGGTTAACTTATGTGCCCGTTTAAAAAGGCATCAAGTTGGAGACATATTTAAGTTGAACTGAAAATAATCTGAAATGTTTGAATCATATCATACAATATAAATTCTATAGCCTTTTAGATAGTAACACAAAGAAGTTTATTTTCCAATTTTCCCTTTTTTTTGTGAAGGTCTTCTAATTCCGAATTTCGAGTTTGTCGTAGAGCTCACAATATATGGAATAAATATTAATTTTCTACAACATTTTGTAACCTCAAAAAGCCAAGTGTTGTAATACATATATGTATGAATATAAAAATTTTCGGAAGATATACCCGATGATATACCCACTGGGCTTTCAATTTGTATGCTTTCAAAGGAAGAAAATAAAGAAAAGTTAAGAAAAAAAAAAGAAGCTAAAATATTAGGTTTTTCTAAACAGAATTTCGCTTTTTCCCAACAGTTGACGCTTGAGCGGCATTTTCATCGTATATTTTACCCTGCTAATGCAGCAAGCCTTGTTCTAATTCTGCAGACTAGATTTCGTTTGGTGCCTTATAAGCTATGGAATGTCGAACGCAGCATATTTTGAATTTTTATTATCGATAAAGTAAAAATGGTATTCAAGCAAAGAAAAAATTATTGAACGTGTATGAAAAAGACGTAGGGATAGAAGACCAGTGCGAAAACCGACGCTGATATAGATAAGATGTATCACGTTCTAGAAGGTCACTTGAAATTGACGAAGACCTAAGTAGAGGAATTAATTTGATGCAAACCGATAAATAAGTAATCGTAAGATCGTTGAGAGAATACACTTATCGAATTCGACCGTTCATTACAATACATTTACCCATTATAAAAAAATCGTCCTTCATTTCGACCACAAAAAAGAAGCGAAATGACTTTCCAAACAACCTAACAACATGTCAAGAAAAATTTCTTCCGATTTCGACCGTCCCAACTAATGACGCAAATCGAGGCCTGTATGTACTCACTGAAGTGTGTTCTTAGATATAATATGATAATGAAATTCTGAATGTTTTCAGAATTTTCTGAGTATGATCTAAAGTGTTAATGATCAGTCTATATAAGCGGGGAGTTTTAATATTTTTGGTTTATATGTACTATAATATTAGTTTCATTGATTGATTAGTATTGAGATTGCAAGACAAACGAAGAGTAGGTTACTTCAAGTCGTCTTGCAGCAGTGTTTTTCTAAATAGATGATAACATGAACTTGGTAGGAGTTGTTTACAGTATTTAATACGACTTATTGGAAAATATGGTAAGAAAATTGTCATTCTCGCTACGAATATCTATAAATTGTTCTGATCGCATTGATTTCTTTTTAGGATTATATTCGAATATCTCCGTCTTGATAGGACGTTCAAGTTCAAAAGGTGATAAGAATACGGATAGTTTTCCTATCGGTCTATTGTAAGTTTTTGTTAGTAGTACATTATGTTACTTGTAGGCAGGAAAGAAGGGGAAATAGACAAATGAGTTTAGCTAACAAATACTCAAAGCGCTTTTAGGCGATTATAGCTCTTATTTCTCATTTGTTTTTCAATATATATATAATATCGAGCTTTACAGGATGGATAGTGCTTTGTGAGCACATCATACTGCAATGGATCGCGATGGTGGATAGACAGATAAGCGTCGATCTTTTTCGCTAACATATCCAATTTCTTATTATCATTATTATAATGTTATTATTATAATTTAGCCTACGATAAAGGTTCTAAAGCATTAGCATTTAAGGCTATCAGTTCCATTGAAAATTTTACCGCACATGAGAATTAAACTTACGATCATTGGGTAGTTGGTCGAGATCTTCTGCTTGCTCGGCTCCGCTCAAGCGAATATAATTAATTAATAATTCATGGTTATCCATATATTAAAGCTTAGCTACATTTTTGGACTCTTAACGGGTATGAACATAAATTATATTATACTGGAACTTATTGAGAGCTTAATATTTTTACGGATATCTGGTTTTCTTTGGGAAAGACCTTGAGTGGTAATTTATAGCAATTGATTGAGACAAAGAAAAACATTTTTAAAAGATATACCTGGAATTCGTTGCATAATTTGTTGCCGATACAATTCATGAGCGATATGCTGTTGCATACGCAAATCCACCAATTCATTCATGGTAATCATTTCATTAAATTTTATTTTTGTCAAAACTCTTTTACTCATAAAAACTCTTACTCTTAATTACTCTTGTGATGGGAGTTCAAAGTGAATTTATTATAAAATAAATGAACTACACATCAGCACAACACTGTCTCATGCTAAAGAGTGTTAAACTTTCAACACTTTTAATAAATTTCGCCAACATATTATTCACTTATATGCATTATGATTATTTAAAAGTAATTTTTAAGTAAAAAAAGAAATAACTAAAAAACAACCTAGAAACTCTAACACATTAACCATTCAAGTATGCATCACTTTGATCGTTGATCGTTGCTTGGTAATGAGAAGCAACATTCACAACAACAATAATAACAATCGATTAACGAATAGATCTGTATGATGAGTTAGAGTAAAACGGCCGTCGGCATATTTAAATATGAAGAGCACCCGTGTAATGGCCTTGTTTAAAAACGTGGTGCTATTTCAAGCAAGTTTCTGATATAACTGAACAAGTTTTCACTGATTTGTATGACAAAATTTATACCCCGTCGTGGTATTCTTAACGCAGACACGCGCGCAACTCTCACACATAAACGATCGATCGATTTATATTTTTGGTTGGCTGAAAAAAAAAAAAAACAAAAACAAAAACAAAAGTAAATGTTAATAAAAAAAAAAAAAAACGAGGAAAAAGAAAAAGAGTAAAAATAATCGGAAAACGATTGTCAAACTAACAGAGCTCTGCACATTTTCTTCTACCTGATGCCACTGACTAACTTTAACAACTCTTATAAGACTTTTCTTTTTTAATGCAATGCATCTATGAAACTGTTTACTTTTCAGTTTTATGATTGGTTCACTTTGGGCGGTACGCATAACACATTCTCTTCTCATTGTTACGGATGATCTCAGTTTCTCTCTTATGTTTTGCTTGTCTGGAGAATCTCTATGGGCTCTCTCTCCAATTAAATTTTCTTGAAACTGGTTCCTGGTTCTCCTCCTTTGCCTTATTGCTTAACAATTCTCCATTTTGAAAATCGCACTCACACGTTGGCAAAAGTGCTGATCTTGACGCTTGTGGCTGTTGACTTCCAACACGCTTCTGTTTTTTCTTTCGTTTTACGTTGTTTATTTTTTTTGTTTTTATTTTGGTTTTTTTTTTTTTTTTTTTTTTTAGCTCCTCCTTCTCTCTTTCGTATATTTTAACATTTTAACGCCAAGTGGTGTTATTGTCTCTGCTTTTCATTAAGTTTCTCGTTTCCACAAATTTTTCCCAGCTTTAGTAAACTGTAAAATTGTATCAACACCAGCGAGCTGTTGTTTTCCTTTCGCTTCTCTTTTCTTTTTTTTTATTTTTGTTTTTGTGTTTTTCTCTAGCACATGTTCACAGTATGCGTGTATTCTACACTCGCTCATTTCCTTCGATGATGGTGGTCTTTTATTGTAACATGTGAATTTGTATATATGTACGTATGCGCAAATGTATATATACATTTGTGCGTGCATGCATGTGTGCTATAGCTTTGGGCTACAATTGTTGGCATAAAAATGGTATACCATGGCTGCTGGCTGTTGTTGTAATTGCTGTATATATTTTATTGGTTTTGTCATATTTTCCACCAGATGGATTCATCATCACTAACATCATCGATTCTTCTTAAATAGTAAATTATAGTTTGTAGACCAAGATATTTTACATTTTACATTTTACATTACATGTTGCGTCCTTTCTATCAATCTTTGTTTCTCTCTCACTCACTCTTTCTTTCTTTCTTTCATTCTCTTTCTTTCTCTCTCTCTCTCTCTCTCTCTCTCTCTCTCTCTCTCTTTCTCTCTCTCTCTTTTTGTCTCTGGCAGCTTGCAAACCACCGTTTCTTCCCTTCCCATTTCATTTATTTTTCAACTAATTTTTTAACACTCAAGGAAATTTATCATCATCAGCTGCTGTTAGTCGCATTTGTCTATCGCTTTAGTTTTCTTTCAATTTTCGTTTTTTCTTTTCATTGCATTTTTATGCTTTAAAGTAAAAACCATCTATCGTATGCATAGGACCGCCTTAGCAAAGCAAATGAAATTATATAAATATAATGCCTCATCTCGTTAGAAGCTTCTCGTAGAAGGGGTTTTCTTTCTTTCATTTTCGCATAAGTGTATAACAGATAAGGATCAGTTTCAATTGGCTTCTTCCCGTCAGCCTAAAATTGCTAAATATTGCTATAGATCAACATTCGAAAATAATCTTGAAAATCATACTTTGAGTAAAGTAAAAGAAAAGTACATTGTATAGCATCGCATATAATATAATTGCAGAACCAACCATAAGGTGACAAGAAACATAATTTTTGTAGAACGAATACGTATCGAAAATAAAATAATTCCTTCGAGAGTTTAATTGGCGGTCAGAAGAAAATTCATTTTATTTTTTATTTATTTTTGTTTGTTTTCCCCTCAATTTTTTCAGCCATCATACGGGATATGGTACAATTCTTCCATTCATAGCTTTGTCTTCAGTGTTTACTTCAGTGTTCACTCTTACCCTAATCTCTCATTTTATTAAAGTTTTACACTGCGCATGTTTTATTAATATTCTTTTATTGGATCGTTTTTTCATTTATGTTATTAAAATAATTTTTTATTTCTGACGCGAATAACTAACTGTAAATGATTTCTTAATAAATCTCTGTTTACGTTTAATTTTATTAAATTCAATCTCTTGAGTACGGAATTGCGGCCATTTTCACATTAAAATATTTAATTTGATTTTGACGAGCAGTTAGACAAGTGATAAAGCGAATGAAGCCATTAAGTCAATGTTGCAAGCATTCATTCATCTCTTGTCGACAAAAACATATGTCAAATATGTATAATTGCCGGCATTTCAGTGACAATATTATCGTGATTAACATTAAAATTGTTATCGAAAATGAAACCAATCAGAAACTATGTTTTAACACACAATTGGTGATAGGTAAGCACTCAGTGTGTAATTAACTAAATTTACGATAAACTAAACTAAATCGAATGAAAATGTTATTTTTAGTTGAGAACCACAACTAATGCACACTACATTGTATTCCAAAATGTTCCATTACGATCTGATATGGTATATGGTATAGCTAGGTGTACAACGATAAGATAAGACGGTAAGATCGTTTGGAATTGGAGGAATAAAAGAGAAGAAAAATTCCGTAATACGCTTTCTCCGACAACATCCACCTGCGTCATTAGCTGAGAAAAATTTCACATAAAATGCATTGCATTTCATTTTATTCTGAAGATAACTAATTTCCTTGAACTCATAGGGGAATTTCGGTCTGGCCATAAACTACGACTCTGTATGTGACTTTTTGTCGTACAAGTCTTCGGCGAATAAAGTTAATGTATACAATAAAACAGTGCGGAGATAAAACTTTAGACTTTTGATCGCAGAAAGTAGCCATAGAAAGTGGAGTTTTTTCGATAACATGTAATTGTACGGACAGATCAGACATGCATAACCTCTTGCTTTTACATTTATAGAGAAAGCCGTAATGTGTTTATAAGCCATAAATAGGAAGACTTCTATCGTGTCCATCTTTTGAGAAAATGTCTTTCGCTACTGGCTTTTTCCTTTTTTTCTTTCTTTTTTATCTTTCTATGTTATGCTTTACACTCTTTCAATGTGTAGTGTCTTGAAGTGTTTAATCGAAACCTTTTTCGTATTTTTTCAACTATTTTTTTTATTTTATTTATTATTTTTATTTTTTTCTCAACTATTTTAATACTTTTTTATTTTTTTTAAAAGAACGATCGATTGAAAGTTTTTTCTGGGGTTTTACTGAGAAAGGAGTAGTGTTCAAACCGAGTTACCTTTGAAGATGGGATGGTAGGGAACTTGAACATCGATTTGCGAATTTAATATCTGCATTTAGTAGAAACTATTGTAAATATCTTGTCACCATTGATGACGGCAGGCAAACGGTTACCAAAATGGAATTTAACATCATTCTCTTACCTCGAATGAGAAGTAGTCGACTATTAAAATTTTGTTTTAATTTAATTTTCATTTGAATTTATTTACACATATTCCCAAGTTTGCCAAAGAAGAGCTTCACAAGTACCGAGGTACAAGGTACAAGGTAAATATTTTTTTCTTTTTCTGTTTGAAAGAATCGTTGGATTTTTTTTGCAATGATTTCATTCCCTATTATACTCATCACCGAAGAAGGAGTGGTCAAAAACAGTTGCAACGGCCAGAGCGAACTTTTAGCGATCTCGCAAACTATATATATTCTTGAACGACATTAGATTCTGAATCGAATTAAATAGGTCTGTTTGGACGTCTGGCCGTCCGTCGGTCTGTGTACTGTCTATTATAAATATCCTCCTGGCCACACAAAAGTGAAGCTCTCGACATTTTCTTCTTCAAATTCTTGCACGCAGGTTGGCATTGAAAATGAGAAAAATCGGCCACACCTATTCAATTTTATAGTGGATTATAATTTATTTATTTTTTTCAAAACACTTACAACAAGTTTTGAAATTCTTAATCAGTTTGTAATTTGAAATGCACCTAAGCATGTCCGCATGTTCGCAAAAATGAATGTAAGAATGATAGACATCGGTCGAAGGACACACGCGTACAATGCCCGCACTTCTATATAGTGAAAACTGTAAACACTTTTGCTTTCCATATTCTTTGCTTGTTACTCATAAAGCGCAACACATACATCATATAAATTTCCACTTTTTTTTTGAAAATAGTAATGATCAGATTTATTGACATCTTTTATCGTTTTGTTTTTACTTCAAATTACAAATTGATTATGTTATCCCTTATTCGATGCTATTTTATATTAAATTTTTATAACATCCGAGCTAACATGTTTACTTTAACATCTGTTAAAGTGATAAAATTTTCAAAAAGCAGCTAAAATGTATAGGAAATTACAAAAACAAAGTTAGAAAGGAAGCCTTTACTTTTTGTTTGCAGAATTAGATTTCATAATTTGACTTATTCCCCTTTAAGAGTTGCTCAATCACTCCAACGCTTCTTTATCGTTTAGCATTGCTTCAGTTTTCGCTTTTTCCTTGAAACATGCTTGCAACAGATATTAGTAGCTAGGGATCATATATATATATATACATATATATATGTATATACATTTTTAGATGATGACTATAGAG